CCATCATTTCCCTGTGCACAACCTGTTATTTGAATTCAGTAAGTACCGTTTCTCACATGGCCTGCTCCTATGCTAGGGAGGAGGTTTAGGGAAACTGCTGACCCACAGATCCTGCACCTCTCTCCTGTCTTCTTCCTCCTTGCTCCCGTGGAATAAAGGGGACTCACACTTCCATGTTCTGCCCCTCACGTTTCTTTTTCTTAACGAGTTGCCTTAATTTTATATTACCAAGGCCTCTCCTGTTCTTGGCCATGTTTGTTGCTACAACCTTCTGAATTGCTTAAAAACACTCTTCCCAGCTTGATGGGGTGACACACGTCTTCTTAATCCTAGCACTTGGGAGACAGAGGCAGGCAGATCTCTGAGTTCAAGGCCAGCCTGGTCTAGCCAGGGCTACACAGAGAAACGGTGTCTTGAAAAAGCTCCTCCCCCCAAAAAAAAAGAAAAAAGAAAAACACTTTTCCAATTGGTGGTGGTATCTTGCATACGATTGGGCAATCAGATTGACACCCCTTCCCTCCTTTTTTTCTGCAGCAGGGAGATCATATGAGAAGGGATCATTTGGGACCTGGGACCCAAATCACCTGCAAGTCCGTGTTGTAATGACTAGATTTTGAAGCTAAGCATGGTGACACTCCTGATAATCCCATCACTCAGGCAGCAGTAGTAGCCCGTCTCAGATATTTTAAAACATGTGATTGGCATGCATTCAGTTCACAGTATACTGGCATGTGGCCGGTGACGAAGGACAGGTCCGTGTCACATTTCTGACACGCAGAAAGCAGTTAAAGGGGCTTGGGTCCAGAATTCACACACACGGTGTTTCCATTTTCTTTGCTCATGAAGACCAAGCCCATTGATGGGAAATCGTCATCAGACTGTGAAATCCGACACCCCAATTAACAAAACCTTGGGGGGATTTGTATTGAGAAGTTTCTGAGACCATGTTACCAGGAAAGGAGCTGCAGAACGCCAGGTGCACCTCCCAGAATGGACACTGAGCTGCACCCGGTCCAGATGCTGTGCCTTTAGCTGTCTGCATTTAGGAGGCTGCATTTGCATGTGAGAGGCGTGTGAGGGTGGTGAGCAGGTAGTCGTCTCTGAAGGAGACTGTATACCACGGGGATTGCCTTGGGGAGGATGGCCTTGTTCACGCAAAGTACAGTTTATCATCAGAGTCTTCACTGGTACTTACACTTGGATCCATGTTGGACCGTTCTAAGTGTTTGGTTGCTGGCCCTTTCGAAAGTAAAGACAGACACCTGAGAAGCTTTGGGCATAGCACGGGGAGTGTTTCCAGCACTTTTCACGCAGCCCATCAGACACTTCTCCCCACCTGTGAGAAGAAAATCAGAGCTGCCTTGGCTCCCCTTTTAATAACAGAGTCCAGGACAAACAGGGAAACGGCATCTCGGCTAACACGGCTCTGCGGCAGTGGATGTTTGGTCTCTTTTCAGCCTTCCTACACCTTAGTTACTACTGAGGCTACTGTCCCACAGCTGTGCTGTATGGACGGTAGGTTCCTGGTTAACAGGACCCAGCAGTCAGGAAAGCAGGAGATTCTCTGTTAGAAGGGATATGAGAAACCCATGCCGTTGATGAGAGCGGCAGAGCCGTGGGCTTGGTGCAGACAGCAGTCTGGGCAGCCCCAGAACTGAACCTGGGTCCTCCACAAGAGCAATACAGTTGTGCCTTCTCCGGATAAACAAATTGTGCTGTACTCCTACAAGAGGATTCTCAAAATTAAGGAACTAAAATGCAACAAATTTACATTCTAAAACAGCTACCTCTTAAAAATGCTATTTTTAAAGAAGCCAGAAACAAAAACCTGTGGACCATGTGATCTTATTTATATGAAAGTTTACAGAAGTTAGAGCCGTAGTTCTAGAGGCCATATTTGTGGTTGCTGGGGTAGCTACAGGGGACTAACTACAAAGGAACTTGAACTTCTGTAGGTCCTGCAAACTTCTAGTACATGATTACGGCAGTGGATACACAACTATATACGTTTGTTAAAACTCATTCAGTTCACATAATTACTGAATTTTAACACGTGTAAATTACATCAATAAACAAGAGACCCCAAGGAATATAAAGACAAGTTTCCAGATAGCATTTCAGTACCCTCCCAGCATAAAATGATGGATGTCAGTCAGATGTCTCTCTCTGTCTCTGTCTCTCTACCTGCTACACAGGTCCAGGTACCCAACACGGCCAGAAGAGGGCATCAGATCCCCTAGAGATTGTTACAGGATGTTCGGTGCTGCCCAGCAGGTGCTGGGAACCAAATGCCAGTCCTGTGGAAGAACAGAAAGGTCTCTTAATCCGTTTCTCTACCTTGTTTTGTGAGACCGGGTCTCTCACTAGGACCCGACACTCACCGATTAGACTAGGCTGACTGGCCAGCCAGCCAGTATACCCCAAGAATACTTCCTTTTCTACCTCCTCAGGGCTAGGGTTGGAAGTGCACACCACTGTGCCTGCTCATTTTTTTGTTTTGTTTTGTTTTGTTTTAAAGAGGCTCAGGTGACAAGACCCTTGTCCTGTTTTCTTTTTCTTTTTTTATTTGTTTGTTTATAAAAATTTCCACTTCCCTCCTCCCCATACCCTCCCGTTCCCCCACTCTCTCCCCCCCCACTCTCCCCCCCCATTCCCTCTCCTCCTCCCTCTCCAGTCCAAAGAGCAGTCAGGGTTTCCTGTCCTGTGGGAAGTTCAAGTTCCTCCCCTCTCCTTCCAGGCCTAGGAAGGTGAGCATCCAAACAGACTGGATCCCAAAGCCAGTACATGCAGAGGAAACAAGACCCAGTGCCATTGTCAATGGCTTCTCAGTCAGCCCCCATGTCAGCCACATTCAGAGAATCCGGTTTGATCACATGCTCGTTCAGTCCCAGTCCAGCTGGCCTTGATGAGCTCTCATTCGATCAGTCCCCTTGTATCAGTGGGTGAACGCACCCCTCGTGGTCCTGATTTCCTTTTTCATGTTCTCCCTCTTTCTGCTCCTCATTTAGACCTTGGGGGGCTCAGTCCTGTGCTCCAACGTGGGTCTCCGTCTGTATCGCCATTCATCGTCAGATGAAGGTTCCCTCTGGTCCTGCCTATCTTGCTCACGTTTTTCCTCCTTCTGCTTCTCATTTGGATCTAGGGAGTTAAGTCCAGTGTTCCAATGTGTGTCTCTGTTTCTATCTCCATCCATCGCCAGATGAAGGTTCTATGGTAATATGCAAAATATTCATCAGTATGGTTATGGGCCACGGCCAGTTCAGGCACCCTTTCCTCTGCTGCCCAGGGAAGAATCTGGGGACCTCTCCTTGGGCCTGAGAACTCCTCCAGAAACAAGTCTCTTTCCAACCCTAAAATGGCTCCCTTAGTTGAGATATATACTTGCCTGCTCCCATATCCATCCTTCTTCCCCCCCATCTCATTCCCCCAAGCCATCCCCAATCCTCCCCCTCTCCCTTCTCTCTAACCATCTCCCCTTACTTCCACCCCCCCCACTCCCCCGTGCACCCAAGTTTGCCTTGCAATCTTGATTACTTCCTATATCCAGGAGGATAACTATATGATTTTCTTCAGGTTCACCTTCTTATTTAGCTTCTCTAGGATCACGAATTATAGGCTCAAAGACCTTTAACTATGGCTAGAATCCACTTATGAGTGAGTACATACCATATTCCTCTTTTTGGGTCTGGGTTACCTCACTCAGTAAAGCGTTTTCTATGTCCATCCATTTGCATGCAAAATTCAAGATGTCATTGTTTTTTACCGCTGAGTAGAACTCTAATGTGTATATGTTCCACACCTTCTTTAACCATTCTTCTATTGAGGGGCACCTAGGTTGTTTCCAGGTTCTGGCTATTACAAATAGTGCAGCTATGAACATAGTTGAACAAATACTTTTGTAGTATAATAGGGCATCTCTTGGGTATATTCCCAAGAGTGGAATTGCTGGGTCCTGAGGGAGGTTGACTCCCAGTTTCCTGAGAAACCGCCACACTGATTTCCACAGTGGCTGCACAAGTTTGCATTCCCACCAACAATGGATAAATGTTCCCCTTACTCCATATCCTCTCCAGCATAGGCTATCATTGGTGTTTTTAAGTTTAGCTATTCTGACAGGTGTAAGATAGTATCTCAAAGTTGTTTTGATTTGCATTTCCCTGATTGCTAAGGAGGTTGAGCATGACCTTAAGTGTCTTTTGGCCATTTGAAGTTCATCTGTTGTGAATTCTCAGTTCAGTTCAGTACCCCATTTTTTAACTGGGTTAATTAGAGTTTTAGTATCTAGCTTCTTGAGTTCGTTGTATATTTTGGAGATCAGGCCTTTGTCTGTTGAGGGGTTGGTGAAGATCTTCTCCCAGTCAGAAGGTAGTCTTTTTGTCTTACTGACAGTGCCCTTTGCTTTACAGAAGCTTCTCAGTTTCAGGAGGTCCTGCCTGCTCATTTTTTAAATATGCATTCTGCTCATATTCCCCAACCTCTAAAGGGTATAATGTTATCTTGACCTTGTTATTGGAAAAATGGCAACGGGATCCTCTTGCTTATTTTGGTTTTTCTCATTCTTAAATGGGAACACAGTCTTTCCTGCTGATTGGAAACATGGGGGAAGCAAGTCCTTTTGTTTATCTATGAACTCCTTAGTACCTTCTGGTTTTTATCAAAATGATTTTTAAGAAGAATGCCACTGTAACCAGCTTTTAGAAGTCTTTATTAACTTGGTGTGTATTATGTGTGTTGGGGGGGCATGCCCACATAGACCACAGCACATTTGGAGATGAGAAGACAACTTGAGATGGTTTGTCCTTCCGTGTGGATCCCGGGGACTGAACTTAGCCCTCTGAGCCATCTCAGACCTTCTAACTAGTCTCAAGCTGGCCCAGTGGCACCCCTTCCTGGGGACCCGCAAAGCTCCACACGTCTGCGGTCCGCACCTTCGTCTTCTGATGCCACACCAAATTGTCCATTCTGAGCTGGGGAACACTGACTCACTGCATCTCTTTCAGCATCCGGTGCTTGACGAGCCCATAGCCGAAGCTGTCTGCATCATTGCCGACACGGAGAAGTGGACCGTCCAGGTGGCCACGAGTCAAAGGAAGGTGATGGACACCATGAAGCTGGGCCAGGATGTCTTGGTCTCCAATCAAGTGTCCTGTTTACTTCAGTCCATTCTGCAGCTCTATAAGCTCCACCTTCCTGCCGACTTTGTAAGTATTTGGCCTCTTATCACCAGAAAATATGTGATTAAAAGATAGCTTTTATTCATGGCTTTGATTATAAATACCACAAATTCAGACATATTGTTTTTAATGTACTGAAGGTTGGTTAGCCTTAAAGAAGAATGGAACATGCAGCTTCACAGCCTCAGACAGGTAGACCTTCGAGGGCGCAGAGGACAGTGTCATCTGAGAAAGCAGGTAGTAAGGTAGATACAGGGGAACTGAGGCGAAAAATAAATTTAAAGCCCTTCATTGGAGATCTCGTAGATGATCCAAGGCAGGCTGTTTTGTTTTTTTTCTGTGAACATCCTCACAGTCTGTTACGGGTGAATGGGCTCGTCTCACATTAGAAAGGACTTTGTAAGAACTTATCACATGGCGTCTCGGTTGTTCCTTCCCAAGTGGGATTTTTAGAAAGACTTTTGTGACATGTTAACTAGAAATGAAGAACAGCCTAGAAAGTCCTAGAAAGGGGTTACCAGCTCTCCCCCTAGTCAGTGGAATAGCAGACTCCTGGTTCGTGTCGAGTGCAGAGAGTGGTATGGAGGAAGTGTATTCAGAAAGTGAGCAAGGAAGGCTGGGCAAGGAGAGATGAAAGGCGCGTAGCTGAGCAGCCATGCCATGTGGCCTTAGGGACACACACAATGCGGAAGTGCCTGCCTTTTCTGCTTCCTTCCCTTCTGTGCAGGGTGGCTGTTTGCAGCCAAGCCTTAGTTCAAATTCCTGTCTCCCTCCTGGTCTCCAGAGAGAGCACAGAACTGTTTAACAGCCCGACAAGGAAGCATCCGATCAGTTAATACACACTGGCCGTCTGTCTTCTTACGGCCAGGTCCTCAGTTGCAACGCTTTGCACACATGGTCAGGACTCTGTTGTCGGTGTTCTGAGGTATGGTTGTCAAAGCTGGGGCAGTGTAGAAGGGGAGGAAAACCTTGAACCATCCCTGGGTCATGTGGCCAGTACTTGTACTCCTTGTGTGGTCGACGATGGCGAATCCTCGAAGCCCGGGTTCCTTGTTTGCAGCGTGAAGGTAGTCTGAGCCTGTTGTGAGATTGCTCTACCAACCAGAGAGGAGATGGTGCTTTTCAGACTGGCCAAGTGCCACACCGGCACAGGAGGCTGCCAAAACCATTTTGTGTGTCGGGTCACAGTCAGTGACTGGGCATGAGAACCATTTCTGAGTTCTGTGGATGAGCCTTGTAACCTCTCAGAGGCTCATTTCCCTCTCTGTACATCTAGAGGAAAAAATAGAACCTGCTTCAGGCTGGGCGATGGTGGCGCACGCCTTTAATCCCAGCACTCTGGAAGCAGAGGCAGGCGGATCTTTGTGAGTTCAAGGCCAGCCCAGTCTACAGAGTGAGTTCCAGGCCAGCCAGGGCTACACAGAGAAACCCTGTCTTGGGGAAGAAAATATCTGTTTCATATGCTTAGGAAAACGAGTTAATTCAAGCGAAGGACTTGAAATGGTGGTAGATGTTCCAGTCCATCAGTAAACAGTTATTACTGGTATGTGATAGACAATATTGATGGTGTAACAACTGGCAACATCTTCCATAAAAACCTTTATTTGGCTCGTAACTGAAGCATGCTCTTGCAGGATGTCTCTTCCGGGGTTAGCAGGAGAAGCAGGCTTCTTCTTTTCGCCTAGAAGCAGACTGATTTGTCCGTCCTTTGAGGCTTGGGTTTTCTTTTCTGTAAGGGAAGGAGGAGATATTAGAGCCCATGGCGGCTTGCTGCTGTCTGTACAGATGCCTACATTGGATTCTCTCAAGACTTTGTTCTCATTGTCTGACATCGTAACTATCAAAGCAATAAACTATAGAAAATTCTTTCTGCTTCATCTGGTAGAAGTATACATAACTACATAATAAGACATGAATGACTTACTTAACCTGGCAGAACCAAGATCCAAGAGAATTCCGCCTAAGTGTTGCTTTTGAGAAAATACACATGGGACTTGTATATGCAAGAAAATAACTAAAATTTTAGAAGTTAAATGGTATTCCTCTCATGAGTAAGATCTGACAAAGAGGGGTAACCACTCAACATAATTCTCTTTGAGTATGAAGCTTTAAAAAGCCATTTTTTTGTAAATGTGTTTTTTCCACATTTAGCATGTATTTCTAGACCCAACATTGCATCATCCATTTTCACTGCGGACTGAAAACATTACACATAAAAACCTCTTTAAGACATAAAGATTTCAGTATGATTTGAATGTTTCTTGCTATCTTGTAACTCTTATTTAAATACTATGGATTTCACTTCACAATGAGCCAAAACTTGGTAGGGAATCTCTCTGCATTTACCTCTGAGATTGGTGCCATCCCCCCGCCTTGTGTAGTACTTACAGCCATGGTTCATCCTCAGCACCGTGCACCTGAGATGCTCACCAGTGACAGACTCAAAAGCCCCCGCGTCTCACAGACACTTCTCCCCCGTCATTCATCAGCCCAGATGGGCAGGGTTAATGTTTTCGAATGCATCTGTTCATCTTTTTACCCTGAAAATGGGAGGCCTAATGGTCTAGAAGGAAATTATGGATGATGGAATTGTCTTGCCAACGCCGTCAGGTGTCATCTCCCAGAGACGCTGGGGCGACTGCCTGCCAAATGCAAAAGCCTTTGCCGCTGGCAGAGACACACAAATGGATGGCTGTGGTTCCCTAACCACTGAAGCTAAACACAGTTTCAAGTGAAAAGACGTCCCCAAGATAATTGTTCTCTCCTTTTGTTATTAAAGAGCTAGTTAAAGGGTACGCTAGAAAGCAAAATACAAGTCTGAAGTGACCTTGTTCCCATCATTCTGCTTCTAGGAATGCATTATGCCAGAGACGTCTGAGGCCCAGAAAGAACACAAGAGCTAAAACATTCTTTACAAAATTATAGCCCCACTGTAGACTGCCCTGTGGTTAAGTAAATAGTAGTAAGGTAACGTTTCCTAAAGCGCTGGCCATAAAAATGGCCTAGTGAGGAATTCTTAAATACGAGATTATTGGTAAGTTTCTCAACAAGAAATGTTGTGAACAAAGATGTAAAGACAAGTACAAAAATAAATCCACGTCTGCAACCCAGAACTCGCTGTTCTGTGGGGTTCTGATACATAGGAGGAGTGTGTCTCTCCAGAGAGCCAAGATGATGATGGTCCTGACTCCCACATCAGTTCCAAGAACAAAGTTAACTATTTAAAAGCCAGAAAGAGAGGTTGTTCATGCTTAGGGAAAAATTTCAACTCTGTAAAAGGTTTTCTTTTTTAAAAAAATATACTAGAATGATATTATATGCAAATGTTAATAACCATTTTATGAAAAGCGTAAGCTGGTGGTTCTGGGGGTTTATTTGAAAGGGAGCGGTTACAGCTGTATATGTAGAAATGAATACGGAAAGCCCAGCTCTTAAAAGTCCTGGCAGATGCTGAAGGCGCAGTCCTCATTGTCAATGCTGTTGGTTGCAGTGCGTCATGCATCTGGAAGACAGACTTCAGGAGATGTACCTTAAGAGCAAAATGCTTTCCGAGTATCTCCGGGGACACACGCGTGTGCACGTGAAAGAACTGAGTGTGGTGCTGGGGTGAGTTCTGTGCAAGGCCGACCTTTCTCCCAGCTGTACTGACCATAGTTTCTCTCTCTCTCTCTCTCTCTCTCTCTCTCTCTCTCTCTCTCTCCCTCTCCCTCTCCCTCTCCCTCTCCCTCTCCCTCTCCCTCTCCACAGACGTGCATGCACACACGCGCACACACACACACACACACGACTTACTGGCCTGTGCCATTCTATACCTACCGGATCAGTAACTCTCACTGTGCCCAGGCTCACTCAGAGGTGTGCCCATGCTGCTCCCCAGTGAAATGCAGGATGTAGGCTGCAGCAGCATTCGATCTCACTCTGACTCTTCATCTCTAGTGACACAGTCATGATGCAGAAATCACAAGCTGCTGTGGGTAGTGGCAGCTTGTCTCATATTGTGGAGGAGGTGAGAGGCACTGCCTGCGTACCTCCTGGGTTCACCCCACCCAAGATTAGACTTGCTCTTTGCTAAGGATGTCCACCATCTTCTGAGAGCACTGGCCCCACTTTCTCTACAAAAAATTCTGACTTCCTTCGTTTTCATTTCCGGTAGAGAAGTAACAGAAAAGACTCTACCTATTAAGAATTTTTCACCGTATGGTGATTCTGCTAATTTGGAATAAGAAAATGCTGTGTCTATAATGTCACCCTTAATTTTCTACTAGGCCTGGTAAAGTTTTGTTTTATTTATTTAGTTTTGCTTTTTGGATGATTTGTTTGTTTTGTATCATCTTGTAGTCTTATGATGCTGGCTTTAAATTCAGGATCCTTTTTCTTCAATCTCTTTACTGCTAGGATATTACAAGCATGCACCACCATGCCTGACTCCCAAAGTCATATATATCATCATCATCATCATTATCGTTAAATGTTTTTATTTTATATGCATGGACACTTGCACGCCACATGTACGCAGGTGCACTCGGAGGTTAGAAGAGACGGATGGATGCTCAGTTCCCTGAAACTGGAGTTCCAGGCTGTTAGGAGCCTTCTGACCTGACTCCAGTCTCTGGAACAGCGGCGTGGACTCTCACTGCTGAGCCGTCTCCAGTTCTGACGGCATTGGTTTAGAGTTAGGCCTTGAGTCCTTGTCAGATTTTCTGCCTTTGACAGGTCAGTGTGACAGATCAGTGACTCCTATAAAGGAGAACATTTGATAGGACTCACTCAGAGTTCCAGAGGTTTCGTCTGTTACCATGGCAGGGAGCATGCTGGCACACAGGCAGACAGGGTGCTGGAGAAGTAACTGAGAGTTCTACATCCTGATCCATGGACAGAGAGACTGGGCCTGGTGTGGGGTTCTCAAGGCAACTCCTCCTAGTCCTTCCGATCCTTTCAAGGGGTGCCACTCTCTTGTGACTGGGCATCAAATGTATGAGCTTGTGGGGACTGTTCTTATTCCAGCCACAACCAGTCAGATGTTTTTGGTAATTTATTTAAAAATATTTTCCCGTTTGGAGGGATTGAGCTTTTTGCTCTTACCTTGCAAGGTTCTTCAACTGTTTTCCCTTCGTAGCCTTGTAGTATAATCCTGCCTCAGCTTTCCTGTTAGGTCTGGTCCTATGGTTACAGGACTCTGTCCCACTCTCTGACTGGGACAAAGGGCTTCATATAGTCTTAGAAAAAGTTTTTTTTTTAATATTTGTTCATTTATTATGCATTCAATATCTGCCTACACGTGTGCCTGCAGGCCAGAGAGGGCACCAGATCTCATTACAGATGGTTGTGAGCCACCATATGGTTGCTGGGAATTGAACAGGCAATGCTCTTAACCACTGAGCCATCTCTCCAGCCCAAAAGTTTTAATTTTGAAAGAAACAATTAGAATCTATTCCACAGTCTGAAACTCTCCCGTCCTTCCCTCTCACAACATATGACAGCACTTTGCCATGAACCATATTGTGCCCCGTGTGCTGTAAGAGGCAGCCACCCATCCGTCTGCAGCGACGGCACCTCTCCTAGCCTTTGTTCACAGAACGCTGTCCTCCGTTGCTCAGTAAGTCACAGAACCGTTGTGTGAAGAACCTGCCTTGTCCTTTCCCGAAGGCTGATCTGAGTATAGGTTCAAAAGCAGTGTACCTTCAAGAGGAAGGATGCTGAGGCACCCGCTTTGTGACATGGCCATGCAAGGAATAAGGGATGGATGTCCCTGCCGTGGGAAGACCAGCCGTCCACCCTCTCTCCAGCACCACCTCCTTTTGAAGCAGCGTCTCCTGGGAGGGCTTTTTATTTTCTCATCTCTTTTACTCACAATTTTTTCCTTGCACCTTATTCATTCATTCATTCATTCATTCATTCATTCATTTAAAGATTTATTTATTTATTAAGAATACAGTGGTCTGCCTGCATATGTCCCTGCAGGCCAGAAGAGGGCAGCATATTTCATTACAGATGGTTGTGAGCCACCATGTAGTTGCTGGGAATTGAACTCAGGACCTTTGGAAGAGCAGTCAGTGCTCTTAACCTCTGAGCCATCTCTCCAGCCCCATCTTATTTATTTAATATATGGGCATATGTGTGTAGGAGCTTGCATGTACCAGTGTATGTGGGGGGGGTGTAGAGGGGGTCAGGACAACTTATAGAAGTCAGTTCTCTCCTCCATCATGTAGGTCCTAGGGATGAAACCTGGGTCATCAGCTTTGACCAGCCAACCCATCTTGCTGGACTGTTTTACATTCTCGTGAGTTTTCAAAGATGACCTGGACTAGAAGCTGGTGCCCATAGAAAGAATTCTTTCCTATGAAATGATGTGGTTTTATAATTCTGTCCTTGAATTTTTCACCACCCAGGATTGAATCTAACGACCTGCCTCTGCTGACAGCGATCGCCAGTACTCATTCTCCTTACGTGGCTCAGATCCTCTTATAGCCGACTGCAGGGCTGTCCTTGGAAGCCGAGTCGGAAGAGTGAGCTCTCGGAGCTACGACGGAGTGGCTGTCTCATCGGGAGGCTTGTGTTCACTTGGAGTTGTGTTCGGGAGTATTCTGAGCCTGTGTTTCCCAGGAGTCAAAAGAAAGTGACCTTCCTGGTGGGAGGAAACCATCAGCAGACAGTCAGACTAAGCCGGCGGCTCTGGTGCTGTTGGGCAGAACATTGAGGGCGGGCTGACTTTGGAGTGGGGGTAACCAATGAATAGAGCATTCCATTAGGAAAATGTTTCCTATGCAAGCTTGAGAGAGCATGAAGTGTCACTCTAAGAACAAGCAGGGTTCTAGGTCGGAGCTCTCTTTACTGATGGTGCCGTGAAGAAAGCCGCATTGTGCCGCTGTCTGCTCTGTGCTTTGTCACTCAGTTTGCCGTGGTCCTGGTGCAGCCACACGCAGATCTGAGGGACTGCTGGTGCAATAAAGCCCATGCATTGACTCCGTGTAGCACCCAGTGCTCTATCGGGTGCAGCGGACCGCATCGGCCTGTGCAGTCTAACACTGGGTAATCCTCTTCAGCTTTAGCGTCTGCAGCCTTCTCCAGAAAGACCTTCTACCAAAGTTGCTCCCCCGAGCTCAGGTGAGCTCCAGTGGCTGAGCCCTCCCAGAGCCTCTTTCCTCCTGCGAGTCCTTGAAGACGCCTGCCTGCGTTGAATAGTGCGACTGCCCACAGGGAAGTGAACCCTGCCGCGGCTCGGAGGAAGGAAGCAGGCAGTTGGGACATGTAGAAGCAATCCATGCGCGGTCTGTTTTCACACGATCAGTTCTGCACTTTTAAAAACATCTTTCCAGAAACCGACCATGTATGAACCTTGCCCAAGGTGAACTGTAAAAACCCAAAGAACCTTAGACTACTGAGCGTAAAGCAGTCTGTGTCCAAGACTTTAAAAACAAATGAACAAAAAAATCTGATGTTTAAAAGCCAGGAAGCCAGTCAGGTCAAGTCAGACCCTTTCAGGTCCTTAGGCCTGGCCTCTGGTGCTTGTGAATGTGGGATAGCGTCCAGGGGCTCAGACAACTTCCTAGTTTATATCTGATAAAATCCTGGTCCATGTGACATTGGTCGCCATTCGTTGAGAGCATGAGCCCCTGTGCTACTGTGGACAGATGCCTACTTCCTCTCTTAGTAGGCCAGAGCGTGGACGCTCCCTCTCTCCCCCGCTCTCCCTTCCCTCCTGCTCCCTGTCCTCTGCTCACCTTTTGTGATTTGCGAAACACACGGTGCCTCAAGGCACTTAAGATCTTTAATTTGCATTTTAAGTTTCACAAAATGGAGATGTCCCGTTATTTGAAATCTTTCCATATTCTGTGAGCTGGCATTTGAGTTACTGTTTGCCATTTGCTGGCTCTACGATGTCATCCTTTGCTGGGGAAATCCCACCTGGTCTCAGCTTTCTGGACACGTGTTTTTCCTCGGTGTAGAGGAACTGTCAAAGCAGAGAGGTCAGCCTTCATCCCTCGCCAGCTCAGAGCGCTCCCCACTCCCTTCTCCCTTCTCGTTTACACGTGGATACTGCCTCATCACCATCTTCTGAGGTTCCGGAGAAAAGAACTCAATACAAGATCGTTCGGTTCTCGTGTTGACGCAGTAACATGTTGACGGCCAGACGTGGAGAGCTGCGCTGTCGGCAAGTTACTTCTCATTCTCGTGCATAAAAATGTAGCCTGGGCCTTCAGATCCTACAAAACAACCTGCCTCTTTACTCTAACGTTCCAAATTTCAGAAAAGCTGGGCGGTCATGTGGGGTTATCTCAGCACCTTCAGTGGCCTCTCTTGCTGCTGCAGGGAAGGGCACACTGCTCCTCTCCTGGCTCCCAAGATGTGGAAGGGCCACATTTTGTCTTAATGTCAGCCTGTTCTCAGAAGTGAAGCAGCAGTGGAGTATCTCATGGACTTGTGCTGAGACGCCCACAGCCCGCATCACGGATGGCTTTGTTCCATCACAGCTGGAGAGTCCAAAAGGGACCCCACCATCTCCTAGACCCAACTCAAGGGAAAAAAAATAAATAAATAAACTTTTTTTTTTTTTTTTAAACGTTGAAATAAATCTACCTCAGTTGACAGGATTCCACCCGCCCTTCAGGTGTCTTCAGCTCGGAAGTCTTACCTGCTATGTCACTGCTTGTTGGACCTAGCAGCTAGTCGGGCAGGACGATGGGGGCGGAAGTGTGTTGGTGTTCCTGCAATGACCTCTTTCCAGCATGTTGCGGTTTATATGCGATAGGTCGATAAGTGATATGAATGTATAGGCAGTTGTGTATGTTTTAAAAAAAATGACAGTGAGAATTGAAAATGTAGCTTCCAAACTCGTTCATAATTCCAAAGTATCTTGTTCCATCAGTGTTACGTGGCTTTCGTACAGCTTCAGCCCGTGTTTCAGAAGTGTGCTGTTTTTCACGGACAGGAGTTCATCGTCTCACGTCTCACGGAGACTCACGCCTCACGGAGCTGCCGTTTACACATCACAACTTTTTAACTTAACCGTGTTTTTCACAGTTCGCTTTTTTGGAGGGAGGAAATTCCCCACTTGCTAAATGATACTAAATTGTTGTCTGGGCTTTTAAAAATCAGGTCTTCGGATTTTATAAACTAGTCTGTAGCTTTTTAGGCTCTCCTTTTTTGTTGGCTGTACATAAGGAATATAAATTCTTTCAGACGTCTGGGGTTTTTCTCCACCAGTGCGCACTCGGGATTGTGTTCACACGGACTTCTTCATGAAATCAAAAAGGTCCATAGCGTCTCTTAGTCAATGTGAAAAAGTTTGTTTTTTGTTTGTTTTATTGTGCTTGGTGGAAAGGACACTTTAATACAATTTTTACTTAAAGCAGCCTCTCTGAATGTTCATTTTTAAAATGTTAAAATTTGTTGAACCTCTGGAACATGCGTTTGCATTATGTTTAAACTTCAGTGTTTTAAAAAGGAAAAATTCTGGGATATATTATTATTGAACTTTCATTAAGAGAAATTTATAGGACTGTTTTTTTTAAATCAGTTGAATGGCTACCTATGTCAGTGTGGATTTTTTTTCCTTAAAGCAACATTCATGTATTATTTTAATCCATTTTTTCTGTGACATTTGGTGCAATAAACTTTTTGAATTTATCTTGCAAATTTTCCTGGCGCTGCATGATTGGTTTGTTGCATTTAATCAAATCCAGCCTTGAAATGACTTGTGGTGAGCGGAGACTTTTGGTTAGCACCCTGGTAGGTGAGCACACTGGCCCAGCACACTGTCAGGATTTGGGCCAAGCGTGCAGCAGTGGCGGCATCCTGGAGCCTGTGGGAATGGCCCAGGGCTAGTCTGTGTGACCTTTAATTGCCCTACCTGACATTCATAGGAGTGATAAACCTGTTTTTAAATGATCTAAACTGAGAATTTGTGGGTTTTACCTGACATTGGCTCGTGGTTGTAATGGTTGTCTACCCTGGAGTTGTAGATTTCCTCTGTAAAGATTGTAACAAGTGGCCGCTTGATGGTGTTTTGGAACTTCCGTCATCAGCAGCTGTGTCTCATAAGATCAGGACACCGCTACAGTGCATTCCTGTTGTCGGCAGCTGTAGCCGCTGCCTGCATTGCATCTAAGCCTCTACTCCAAACCCTGTGTGTTTAAATAGCACGTCCAGGGGTCAGAGGCTGGCTCAGCAGGTAAGGGTGCTTGCTGCTCAGCCTTACAATCTAAATTAGAGCCCCAGAACCCAAATGGTGGTGAATGACTCGCACAGGACCAGCAAGCAACTTTCTCACACGCTGGGGGGCAGGGGGGTGGGGAGTGGGAGGGTGTGTTGCCACAGTTTGAGAGCAACATAGCATATCTTCAGTAGGACAAGACCCAGGCAGTTGTGTGAAGCTTATCCACACGAGCACCAGCGTGCTTGTCATCTGCTGGTTTTGGTCTTCAGTAGCTGAACCCCTCCTTGCACACAGGGCAGAGGAGAAGCTTCTGCTGAGTCCTCTCTGCAGGACAGGGCTTGGACTACAGTGGGGCTTCCCCTTCTCGTATTTGGTAACTTTGGGGTTCTCCCTTGTAGCCATGCATGGGGCCCCAGATCTCTCAGCTCTCTCACAGTGGACCTTTGACCGCTGGGAAAGAGAACGAAGGACCCAGCGTCTGTTTCTAAGCCCTCTACAAAGACTTGTATACACGCAGCACAGTCTGTATTCCGCTGTGGTCTCCTCCTGCCTAGACTCTTCTGTTGGATGACTGATGTGTTTTTCTTATCCTTTAATCCTCACAACTGGGTGAGATGGGTGCTGTGATGGTGAAGTTCATGTGTCAAGTTAGCTAGGCCATTCTTCTCAGACTCTTGGTCAAGCACCAATGTAGGACATGCTGTAAGAGTATTTTTTTTTTAGATGAGATTAATATTTGAATCAGAAGATAGAGTAAAGCTGATTACCCGCTCTGAGTGGGTGGGCCTCGTTCAGTCAGTTGAAGGACTTAGACTTGGAAAGAGCAGACCTTCTCTCCAGCCTCTGGGAAGAGGAGCCAGTGTCCAGATCGCCTCCAGATCCAACTGCACAGCGGTCTTTGCTGGCCCCAGCCTGCCAGCCAACCCTAGAGCCAACCCTATAAACTGAAATTCTACTCAGCTCTGCTACCGGCTCCTCCAGTCCTCTCCCACTGAGCTCTGAGGGTGCAACCTATACCTCCTCACTCTGCTAACAGCCTGTTTCCTGGTACCTGGAGTGTGCTGGTCTGATTCCATCTCAAACCATCTCTTCTCCCCTCTGGCTGTTCCAGTCCTTCCCTATGTTCGGTTGGGTAGTGTCATGCTCTCTGGACTCCTCCATTTCATATCGAAGAGTTCTCATCAATTCTCATCGGTGCTGATTTCCAAACCTTTCTAAAATGCTAATCCTGCCTGTCTCTTTTTAAAACAGCAGCCCAGTAAACCCCCAGGCCTTTAGCATATGGGACTCAGATGAGGTAGCCGCTTCATCCCCAGCCTCATCACTAGGTACTCTTTGTATAGGTACACACACTCTGTTATTGGGGATTAAACCCAGGGCATCAAGCATGCTAGGCACTGCTAACCTAAATCTCCAGCCTCATTTGTTTTTTTTTTTTTTTTTTTTTTTTTTTTAAATTTTGAAACAGGGTTTTACCAAGTTTCCCAAGCTGGCCTTGAACTTGGTATAAACCAAGCAGGTTCCTGTCTCAGACTCCTTTAAGTAGATGAGATTAGCAAGCCGCCTCCACTGGCTCGCTTTCTTAACTTTTAAGAAACAGGATCTCACTGTATCACCAAAGCTGAGCCCAGTTTCTTGGACTCAGTGATTCTCCCTAGTCAGCCTCCTGAGTCGGTGAGACCACACAGCACACGCCACAGAGCCCAGCTTCCTTTTACTCCACTATGCAGCCATATTGAAGCACTTACATCCTCCTGAAGACAGTCCAGTGCTGTTGGCTTTGCCTTCCCAGTCTCCCTCCCCTTGTCCAACCCTTCTGTTCTATCTCCAAATTCAATTCATGGTCAAATCCTCTGGCACCCTAGTAGTCAAGGTCCCCAGATCACCCACAACGTGTGTTGCCCGGGAACTGGACAGAAATGCAGAATGGCCAACCCACTGCAGACCTGCTGACCCATGCATAATCTGCATCTGAATTCGGTCTCCATGGGGTTTGTTGAACATTAACATCTGAGAATCTAATCTTGAGCTCAAAGGCACTGAGGGAGTGACAGAAAGAATGCATCAAGTAAAAGAATTTTTTTAAAGAATGCATTAGACATTGGTACATTGGAATTTAGAGGACCACAAGAATACTGGCAAGCTGAGAATGAAGTGGAAATGAATGGTGTTCAAAGGGGTCTGTGCCTGTGAATTTTCCAACATTTAGGTCACTACCTATTGAGAGGGAAAAAAAATCAAGATGGAAGAATTACAAATGGAAGAGAGAACTTGAGAGATATTTGTAATTTTTGAAAAGAAAGGAATTTAACTGGAGAAACACATTTGCCCAATTGAATTCCAAAAACATTTGCTAGTACATTCTATGTAAATATGTACAAGAATACTTCATACTGTTAAGTACCCTAAATTGTCCTTTTTACAAATAATGTCATTACGCCCTCAAGTTTATAAGTAGAGAAATCCATCCAATAGCACAAGTCAACATCTCATTTCCTCTTCCCTCCAGATAAGGTGTGTATGACACCATCACAGGGACAGTTTTCACTTCTCAGGCTCTGGGTTCAATTATGATTCTTACAGTGTAAGAATGGGAAAGGCATGGACGTATGAGCTGTCGTTCCATCACCCTGGAGGTGAAGGCACAGGAATCAGGAGTTCAAGATCATCCTCAGCTATGTAGTGAATTTGAGGCCAGCCTGGGAGACTCAGCAGACTCTCAACCTCTCTGCAACAGTAATGACTGCCAGCATTCAGCCCTGCACTGGTGGGCGGCGCCCTGTGGATGCTTTTCCCATGTTGTATTCGTTATTGGCTTTTGAATATGTAAGAACACTTGTTTGGAGTTAAGTCCATGAAGAGGGGTCACCATGAAGAAGGTGGGAGTTTTCTCAAATATCCACAACTCTGAGATCCTCCAAAAACACAGACGAGGATAACGAGTTTCTAATGTATTCTGAAATTTTAAAGAGTAAGCCTGCCTCATGGGAAGTTTATCTTGAACGACGCAGTATTTATTTTCTTTTAAAGAAGGGATGTGCTTGTGCTCAGTGGGGATGAGTTCCACCCACATCTGGTGGCAGGCCGTTTGTCGGGGTTCCCTGTGCATGCCACACAGTCTGAGTCAGCCTGCGTAGAGACAGCAGACAAACCCACCTGGAGAAAACAGCCTGAGTTTGCCCACAGCCTTCGAAGATACGGGTGCCACAAAAGATGAAGACGAAGACGCAAATGGAGAGAAACTTAGCACGTAACTAATTGTGATGTGTGACCCCAGCATGCTGTCTTGGCTCAGGGAAATTTGTTTGTGAATTGTAGACCTAAATCTTAAAGCAGCAACCATGGTGATATGAGAGAACATTTTTGTTATTAGGAAATATGCCCTGAAGTGTCTAGAAATAAAATGGCATTGGGTCTGCAATTGCCTTCAGATAGTACATGGGATGGGGTATATACACATATATTTAAATTCGTAGTGAGGGAGAAAATACATCAAAGCAAACAAAATTAATTGATGGATCTGAAGAGTATAAAAGGGCTTTCTGTTGTTCTTGCAAAATTTTCTCTAAATTTTAAACCATTTGAAAGTAAAAAAAATCTTTTAAGCAAAAAATTTTAATGCAAAATATAAAATCTTTGTTTAGATTTAGTGGTGATAGGAGGCATTTGGAACTAATGTGTGACCATGCTCAAAATGAGTTCGATAATCTAGCTAGTCCAATTCTCCATTACACAGATGTCAATCATTGCCTCAGTCACTGCCCTCCCACAAGTCAGCCCACCTGGGATGGTAGCACTTGAACTCCCATTTTTCACACAGTGTCCCTGGGCCAGGACCTTCCCAGAGGACGCATCCAGCTCCCTGGCAGAAAGCTTCAAAGGGTGATGGCTGATGCGCAGGCTTTCTGGACACAGGGTAAGTTCTTTGCTAGAACCTTTCAAAGACTCTTCAAGGGAGCAAGATGGCACCCCGTGTACAAAACAGGCATCTGAATGGGTGTGAGCTATTCTATTTTCCTTTCTATCATGGAAACTTTGTCAAACCCTGTCTTAAACACTGAGCAATGACAAATGCATCGTGCTGGGGGATGGTCTAGGAGGCCAAGACAGGAGACTGTCCTCTGAAAATGATGGTGGGATGTATGATTACACATCCTTGATCCTTATTGTTCACGCTCCAGATATCTCAGGAAAGTGCCTGCTGTCCCCATTTTATTTATTCCTAAAAGCATGTAAGGAAATTATTCAACTTGCTAAGATGCTGAAGATCCTAAGGGGAGAGCCAGGAGTGTGAGCTGGTTCTTAACGTTCTGAGCATGTGCAGGGTTTTCCAGGGGAGGTACATGTCTGCCTCCATCCTACAGGCTGTTTTCTCAGCTTGTGGGAATTAGGGGCCTGACCATCCTCTCTAGGTCAAGCCATGTGGTAGATAAACACTGCTCGGAATGGGACCACACACCCTCCTGTTTTCTTACACGGT